TTTGAATGTCTTCTTCATCCTATAAAAGAAACTTAACTATCCAAAATTGTCCATCTCATAACCAACTTAATTTACCCGAAGAAACATTTTGGTTCCCCTTCATCATTTCCAAGATATATAATTTTTTATGGGAATTTAGAAAAACTCTATTTATATTTCCAATAAGTACAATTCTTACATGTTTAAGCTGAAAGTTTGCACAACTCAATTACTCACTGATATTATGCACATATATTAATATCATAATTTTACCACCGTCCCTTCATATAGCTGCCATACAAATCGATGGATTTTCTTATTGTTAAGAAGGTAGGCTTTGAAAAAATTTTTGTTTCAAGTTTTAATTATAATTTTTCAAAGCCTACCTTCTTAACAATAAGAAAATCCATCGATTTGTATGGCAGCTATATGAAGGGACGGTGGTAAAATTATGATATTAATATATGTGCATAATATCAGTGAGTAATTGAGTTGTGCAAACTTTCAGCTTAAACATGTAAGAATTGTACTCATTGGAAATATAAATAGGGTTTTTCTAAATTCGCATAAAAAATTATATATCTTGGAAATGATGAAAGGGAACAAAAATGTTTCTTCGGGTAAATTAAGTTGCTTATGAGATGGACAATCTTGGATAGTTAAGTTTCATTTATAGGATGAAGAAGACATTCAAAAGCCAGAAAAAAATTTCAAATAATTAAAATTCATACTTATGGGATAACAACAAATTTAAGATAATTATTTTCTAACTCCCTCAATACACATTTAAAAACGTGTAAAGTTGCACGTTGTTCCTTTAAGCCGTTCTCGAGATATACTAATTTGAAGTTTGAGAACATTTTTTAAGTTCTTAACTTCAAAAATTCATAGAGCCCCTAAATGGACACCCAAAAAATTTAAAAAAAAATCACAGATGAGAACCAAGCCAAACTCTACGAGGTACCCGAGTTTGAAGAAAATCTAAAATTTCATATGCGCAGTTGAGAAATTCTTACCCCTTATTATAATAAGAACAACGTATTCAATATTCAAAAATATATCAAAGTTTTCCATTTTTGTATTTTTGGATTGAAATTTTATTTTTATAATTATTCCCAATTTTTTTAAACAATTTAAACAAAAATACTATAAACCTTTATAACCAAGTTATATAGAAACAATGATGTAACATAATTTTGAAACAAGAGAGAACGCTATAGTCGGGTGCCCCGACTATCAGATACCCGTTACTCAGCTAAAGGGAGTGCGAAAGAGATGGAGAAAAACTTTGATCCGCCGTAACTTTTTAACGAATGATCCGATTTAAAAAATTTCTTCTACATTTCGATAGGTATTGATAAACACAATAAAACTGCATTTTTACTTTTCCAAAATATTGAAATTTTTTAAATCGTATATAAGCGATTGTGGGCGTTAGAGGGGGCTGGCACCCTTTTGAAACAAACTTGCGCTGCGTAGGAACTCCTAGAATCTGCATGCAAAATGTCAATCTTCTAGCTTTTATAGTTTCCGAGATCTCAGCGTTCATACAGACAGACAGACAGACGGACAGACGGACATGGCTAGATCGACTCGGCTAGTGATCCCGATCAAGAATATATATAGTTTATAGGGTCGGAAACGCTTCCTTCTACCTGTTACATACTTTTGCACGAATCTATTATACCCTTTTACTCTACGAGTAACGGGTATAATAATTAAAATTTAATAAAAATGATAGTTGCATACCGCTTTTGCAAAGATTGCACTGTAACTGACATTGACCATACAAAAATACGTGAATTATTCATGTTTTGATGGAGGGCTTAAAACATTTATTTCAGAGAAAGTGCGCAAAAGTGCAAAAGTGCGCCAAAGAACTAAGTACTCTACAAGATAAAAAAGGTTCCAGAGCTGGAAAGAGCTGGACTCACTTTGTAGCTCCATTTAAAAATAAAAATTCAATACCAATTTTAATGTTTTTTGAGGTTAGATTTTTCCCAAGATTTTAGGAACACCACAAACAATAAATACATCGGAACGCTCACAAAAAAAAATTAAATTATTTTCTGATTGAACTGCATTTCCTAAACGGCTTTGCGTTGTTTCATTACACTCTTTTTGATCTTTTAAACTTTTAATCAAAATAAACGATTTACCAGCGCTGCCATCTCGTTAAAGCATTAGCAGGCTTTCACAGCTGATAACTTAACAGTGATACGCACTGTTAAACTTTTCTGTTAATAACAAAAATTTTCTAATCTTCAAAAAAATTCAGAGTTGAACGAGTTTTTTTTAGAAAACATTTTCTGAAATACAGAAAAATAATTTTTTTTTTGTCAATTATAAGGTTTATTTTTCTAATCTTTCTTTTTTTGAGGGTTAAAATCGCCATTGATTTTAGAAAAAAAAGACTGAACTTTTCTAAAACTAAAAAAAAATTGCCATTAAAATTATAAATTGTGTAGATCCATAATTATCCCGTTCAAAGTTATAACACGCACATACTGGTATACTAATTTTAATGTTTTTATTTGCGTATAAACTTGTCACTTAAACACATTACATTATTACAAATAGTATTTTAATGTTTTTATTTGCGTATAAACTTGTCACTTAACACATTACATTATTTCAAATAGTTCATCCCCCTTTGTAGGAGTTGTTGATCTTTTGGTTAGGAGTTTTAGACTGCTCCCTGTTGATTTCCATAACTCCTTCTTAGCTCTCAATCTGGGGCAGCGCTGTCGGTCAAGCCGGCAGCGGCGCAGCGGATTTATGTATTAGCCTTATTTCATATAATTCTTATACATATCTGAGAGTGGTTCTCAGAGAGGGAATGTTATGTGCACTTACATTTGGATCAATTTGTTGCTGTCGCCAAGCTGTGGGAACTGCCGACGCAGCCGCTTATCGCCCGCGGAAGGCGTGCGCGATCGGATTGCGTTTGCACTTGAAGAGTGCTGATCCTGCACATTCGGCATTGACATTGTTGCCGTTGGTACAGTGTGTACTCTATATATGTGCATACTACAAAATATTTCTACATAATAGAAATATTGTTTTTCTAATAACAGAAAAAATGTTTGAAGATTTTTCTAACATTTAGAAAAAAATGTGTGATATTAAGAAATATTTTTCTAGAAAATAAAAAATTTAACCGTATTTGATCGATTTCCCTTCTTAAACACTTTTTAGAAAAAATTTTTTTAGCCTAAGAAAAAATCGCTATTAATTGAAGAAAATTTCCGGGATTGGTAGCCTAGGGGTCTAACGCGTGCGTGCATGCATATGTTATTCAAGCTTGCGGCTGCAAGAGTGAGTTCAAACCCACGTCGAGACGAAAAACTCATGGGGTTTTTTTTTTTTTTACCAATAATAGTTACATATTAATAAAAAAAAATGTATTGCATTTTTTTAGCTCATGAATAATTATATTTTGATAAAAATGATGTTTAAGTCTTTCAAACTTGAAACATTCAATTACTGTTACTATAGAACCATAATAAATATATAAATATTAATATTAATCAATAAATATTTAAGAGCAAAATTAAATGAACAACTAAAAGGAATAAAGGAAGAGAGCCAGATCAATTTGAGTAAAAATAGGAGAAAAAATGTGAATAGACTTTGTACAGCGCCTCACGTGATGCTTCCGTGGCGTAGCTAGTATAGTGCTTGACTGCAAACTGTGAGGCGAGCGGTTAGCGGTTCGATTCCCGCGTGTGGCGACCAAGATGTTTTTCTCAAAATAGTAAGTTATTGGGTTTTTATATTTATAACTTGTAATTTGTATACTCTTTTCAGTTATTATTACAGTTCCGATTTGAAACCACCCATGTGCTCAATTAAAGGAAAATCAAATAAGGTGACAACCAAGAACGAAAAAAAAAAAACAACACAAAGGCCGTGGCGTCACAGAAACAGCCGGGTACAGTTCCGAATCCCGAAAATAGATTTTTGTATTTTCTGAATTTAAGAAATTTTTTTTGTTACTTAAAAAATATTTGTCTATATTTAAAAAAAAAACCGTATTTCTATTTTTTAGAAAACCTTTATTTCAAAATTCTAAGAAATATTTTTTTACTTTCTAGCAAAAAATTTCTAAATTGCAGTCTATTTTTTTTTGATTTTAGAACGTCTTTGATTTTAAAAACCTACTTTCTTTAATATAGACAAAATCGCCAGTAAAGCAAATGCATAGGCGATTTTCTAAAACCAAGGGCGATTTTAGTCGATTTTTTTTTTGGGTGCATCATTTTTTCAAAAACTTTGGAACTTTGCATGTTTTTGATTCTATTTCAGGGACCGTAATCATTATAAGTGAAATAGTAAAAATCTCCATTTAATAATTATTTTGTAAGCGAAAAAAAATATCGCTCAGAAATAATGATTATTATGTGAGCGATATTATTTCGCTTAAAAATATCACTCAAAGTGCGCTTGCAGCGTACCATTTTTGTTGACGTCCTATATTTGTTGCTGCTGCTGGTAGTCGGTTCGTTAGCCAGCTCGTTAAATAAAAAAATATGTATTTAAAATAGGTGCGAATTTACCCTAAGCATATGGTGGCGAAATTTCTCCAGACAGTACTTTTTTAGAAATAATTATTTTTCTTCCGAAATTAGGCGCGAAGTGAAAAATTACTAACGCAGAAATGCACATTATAGCACTGTGTATTTTATAAAAAATCGTGTATCTTATTCCTTTTAAATTGTGGCATACAGAAAAAATTTCGTCGAGAACTAAATGTAGCTTTTGAACTGTTAAAATACATTTAATATTATAGCTTATTTAAAAAAAATGCATTGGTTGTGTCATGCCGTCTTGAGGGACTAAAACAAAAAAAAATTATATATTTTTAAGACTTATGGATTCCGAAATATTGCAGGTGACGAAATTGCCCCTGTGACGAAATTACCCCACTCTCCCCTAAAGATTTGTATTTTTTACTCAAAAAAATAATCATTATTTTCGGTTTCTGTTCTATTTATCTTTGTGAGTATGTAGTTTCTTACCAATCGAAGTAAGCCGTCCATCCCCAGTGACTTTAGCAAGCCTTTGACGTCCATGTGTCCCAGTCGCAGAATGTAAATAGGGCGACCGTCCTTGTCAATGTGGTGCCAGCCACCCGGGAAGTGTTCCACCACAACAGCCGGCTTAGAATACTCCGACAGCAGTAAGTCTATGCGGTGTTCCCGACGCCAGCGGAGCGAGTCTCGTAGCATGGCGAAAGCCTGGCTCACGTGCCAGTCCCTGGCTGCTAGGAAACGCAGGATGGTCTGATAGCTAGGCACTTGCTCTAAGTCATCGACACCATCCAGCATTTTTCGCAGCTCAAGTAGCTTGGACTCCTGCATAGGAGAGAGTTGGCCCAGATTGCGGGCGATAAAATCGCCATCAAGCAAGATACTGTGCTGCTGATCTAGAGCCTGGTCCACGGACGGAGACTTGGAGGCGTTGGCTGGAGATGTCCAAATATCCACGTATGTGATGCCTTCATCGCGCAGCTGGCTAATAAAGAACTCAATAATCTCTTTGCCCTTAAGCGTTGTCTGGGTATATTGCTTCATGCCCATTTTCTCCATTGAGTTTTCAAAGCCGAAGAAGTTTTTTATGTCTAGTGTAGCCGACTGGTCGAAGCACGTCCACTCAGAGTTTTCTGGGTGAGCGTAGTAGCGACACCGTTCAAAGATTTCGATGCGTGATGAGAAACTCTCATTAACTGCCTCGATGCTTAACGTGCGGCTTCCCATGTCCAAGTAGTTGTGCTGTAGAAAGAACACATAATCCACGCCGATAAGCTTCTTAAAAATGTAAGGTGCGTCCACCGCCAATTTGCAGCGCCGGCTCGTGTTACGTTTCGACCCGTTTTCCAGGGTTTCGTCGTTAATAATCTCACAGTCTAGCACGATGGGCATCTGCGCACATGTAGGGAAACGTCGCTCGTAAGCCTGCAAAATGAAACCGAAATATGCAATCATAAAAAGAATACCAGGGAACGTAAATAATGATTATTGATCTATTTTTTTAAACAAAAAATCATGCACTTAGGATCGACATACGCAAAAAAGGAAAACAGCATAGTGTTTCTCTTTGTTTAATCTATTCATTATCGCCATGATTTTTATAATATTCCTCAAAAATAATCATTGATAACACTGTGCAGCATTTTTAGTGCTTTTTAAATTTACCTCGATGGATGCTATATTTTTGGATTCGTTATGAATTCCCAAGTTAAACTGCGTTTTTCAAAAACTTTCCCGACGCAAGGATTCTTAGCAAAAGGACCTCAAAGTTCGATAAATGCTGAAAGTGGCAAACTTTCCAGAGTTCTCAAAGGCAAACGGATGCATTGTTTGATTCGATGTTAAAGTTTTTTAAAAGATGCTCTCTTTATCTTTCAAACCCCATACTTAGAATAATTTTAGGATTTTTTTTAAGGCAGTAACAAATTCTAGAAAACATAGTCAAAAAACATAAAAGTATACAGCTGCGGTCAAAATAGTAGTATGTTAGTAGTATTTTCGAACCCTGAGCACAAGGCGAGATCTAAATAAAACCACGGTGAGAACAAACATTATTTTTAAACAAGAGAGAACGCTATTTAATATCCGTCACTCAGCTAAAGAGAGTGCAAACGCTATAGGCTTGCTGTCCCGACTATCTAATACCCGTCACTCAGCTAAAGGGAGTGCGAGGGAGATGGATATATATTATTTTTTTGATTGCGTATAACTTTTTAATGACTGGTCCGATTTGAAAAATGTCTTCTACATTTCGATAGGTATAAATACAAACAACAAAATTGCATTTATACTTTTCGGAAATCTTTAATAAACTTGCGCTGCGTAGGAAGCTTAAGAATATGTGTGGGAAATCTCAACCGATCAAGAATATATATACTTTATAGGGTCGGAAACGCTTCCTTCTAGCTGTTACATACTTTCGCACGAATACAATATACCTTTTTACTCTAACAGTAACGGGTATAAATATGTAGGGAAGAGGTTTGTAGTTCGGTACACCTTTTGTTTTCGATCTGCCATTTCGACACTCACTTATGAAACTTTACGAATTAGGTACTGATCAAAAAGTAAGTCTATTAGTTTAAAAAAGAACAAAAACTATTTTTTTTTCCCTTAGTGAAAACTAAAAAAAAAATTTTTGTTTGAAAAAGAGGTCTGTAATTTGGGACACTTTTATAAGTCAGTAAAACTCACACTAAATGTTTTTTAAACTTTTAGAAACTATTTATTTATGTTAATTTTATCGTTTTAACTTAGTTCCCGTCCATTTTTTATTAACTTCGACCAAATTGCAGTTAAAAATAAAGGCTCTTTGAACGATCACATTTTCCCACACATCACATTTCGGGCTGAGGCCTTTTTGAATGCAAAACAAAACGGGTGTCTCAACTTACACGCTCGGGACACTTACACAAAATGGGTTGCTTCGGAAAAAATGAATAACTTTTTTTTTCTGACTGTCAAAATAATCTGTTAGTTTAATATTTGTTGAGCATTTAATTATCTATGCTTTAAGCATTGCACATTGGGATGAAAAGCCTTTTTTTTGGCATAAAGTCTAATTTTAAAGATACGGATTTCAATTTTTTTTACATAATATTAAGACCATTGTAAAATTTCGGTTTTCATTAGTTTTTGATTTTGACCACGCCCACATGAACCACCCCCGACCGCGAAGGTAATTTTAACAATACGGACTTAAATTTTTTTCTACATAATATTAAGACCATTGTAAAATTTCGGTTTTCATTAGTTTTTGATTTTGACCACGCCCACATGAACCACCCCCGACCGCGAAGGTAATTATACCGGTTACTCGTAGAGTAAAAGGGTACATTGTATTTGTGCAAAAGTATGTAACAGCTAGAAGGAAGCATTTCCGACCCTATAAAGTATATATATTCTTGATCAGGGTCACTAGCCGAGTCGATATAGCCATGTTCGTCTGTCCGTCTGTCTGTCTGTCTGTCTGTCCGTATGAACGCTGAGATCTCGGAAACTATAAAAGCTAGAAGATTGACATTTTGCATGCAGATTCTAGGAGTTCCTACGCAGCGCAAGTTTGTTTCAAAAGGGTGCCAGCCCCCTCTAACGCCCACAATCGCTTATATACGATTTAAAAAATTTCAATATTTCGGAAAAGTAAAAATGCAGTTTTATTGTGTTTATAAATACCTATCGAAATGTAAAAGAAATTTTTTAAATCGGACCACTCGTTAAAAAGTTACGGCGGATCAAAGTTTTTATCTCCGCACTTTCTTTAGCTGAGTAACGGGTATCTGATAGTCGAAGCACCCGACTATAGCGTTCTCTCTTGTTTTAACATACGGATTTCAATTTTTTTGTACATAATATTAAGACCATTGTAAAATTTCGGTTTTCATTAGTTTTTGATTTTTACCACCCCCAGTCAGCCGGCCAAATTCCATATATAAATAAAATTTACGTGTTATATTTATACCCGTTACTCGTAGAGTAAAAGGGTATACTAGATTCGTGCAAAAGTATGTAACAGGCAGAAGGAAGCGTTTCCGACCCTATAAACTATATATATTCTTGATCAGGATCACTAGCCGAGTCGATCTAGCCATGTCCGTCTGTCCGTCTGTCCGTCTGTCTGTCTGTCCGTCTGTCCGTATGAACGCTGAGATCTCGGAAACTATAAAAGCTAGAAGATTGACACTTTGCATGCAGATTCTAGGAGTTCCTACGCAGCGCAAGTTTGTTTCAAAAAGAGTGCCACGCCCCCTCTAACGCCCACAATCCCTTATATACGATTTTAAAAATTTCAATATTTCGGAAAAGTAAAAATGCAGTTTTATGGTGTTTATCAATACCTATCGAAATGTAGAAGAAATTTTTCAAATCGGTCCATTCGTTAAAAAGTTATGCGTGATCAACGTTTTCTATCTCTATCTCCATCTCCCTCGCACTCCCTTTACCTGAGTAACGGGTATCTGATAGTCGGGGCACCCGACTATAACGTTCTCTCTTGTTTTATCTTACTAATCATCTGTATTTAACTCGAAGTCCAAATTTTGTTCGAAATCGAAATGCGGGTTATCAATTACTGCATCAACAGGGGGTGCCTCTAAAAGCGCATTAGAAGACTTGTAGGATTTTCTTTTGAGAGATCTGAAGCCATCTTTCTTTTCAAACGCGATCCACCATTCTCGTAATTTAAATGGGGCCGACTAGTCTTGTTTTTTTCAGAAAATTATATTTCTGATGCAAGCCATTTTTGAAGCATTTAACATGCCTATTGTGTTTCTTTAGCACCTTACTAACATGACAAACAAAAGTTTTTAATGTCTTCTTGATGCCAATCAGCGTATTTTCAGACAGTCTGTTTTAATTTTTGAACCTTTCGCACATCCAGTGAACGGTATCGACAAAGCTGCGATTATTCTTCAGCCACACTTCCAGCAGTTCGCCCCTACTAATGCCGAGTTGTTCCGAATCTATTTAAATATTACGAAATGGCGCAAGTATGCGCAAAAGTTATTAACTCCATTTAATCATATACACAATAACACATATTACCACATTCGCACTTTTAGCAATCCTGCGTACACTTGCTAGTTCTACTCCACGAAACACAAATATTTATAGGTTAACTTCTACACAAAACATTGGGGGATAACGACATATCTCCGCCGTCATATCTCCGCCCAGTGCATTTCGTCGGCGGAGATATGTCGCGATTTATTTGGCGGAGATATGACATTTAAAAACGACATATTTCCCCCGTTAATCAACGCGGAGATATGTCGTTTTTAAACGTCATATCTCCGCCCTTCTGCAAGACATATCTCCGCGCGGAGATGTGACGTTTAAAAACGAAATATTTCGTTCGTCCCAAACTGCAGACCTCTCCCCTATCTATAAAAAGTCTGATCTTGAAATGCGTCGAAATTAGGGATTCTTTACTTTCCTTTCTTTTTTAAATACTATTTTCTCTCACCTCACTGAAGGCTGCATGTGGATATTTAAGAGATAAATAATTCAGCATGCGGTACGAACCAGAGCCAATACGTGGTCACTTTTTAGCTTAAAACGAATTGTGTCGTTATATTTGATTTTTTAATTATTTAGATGGTCTGGCCCAATTGTCATGAAGAGGACGGAAATAATCTAAAATGCTTCGCTTTGCATGAAGGACATGTGAACAAGCAGGTGTTCTCTGCTATAGCCTATCCCTTCCATTTAGCTCTGAATGGGATTTTAACTTTGACATTTTTATACCCTTGCAGAGAGTAGTACAGTTTTAGTCACAAATTTACAACGTAGTGAAGGAGACATTTCCGACTATAAACATTATTGATCAGCACCAATAGCCACGTCTGTTTCTATGGGAACTAGTCTTTCACTTTTGAAGCTATGTCAATGAACGAGCAGGATTGGACCACTATATCTTATGCCTCCCATAAAAATACTCGAACAAATAATAATACTCGAACAATGGCTCATAGGCTTTGATTAAATCAAATTACGATGGAACCTTAAATGCAATTATGTAAAAGGTCATCTAAGAAATTTTTTGGTATAGGTTTTATTATAATTGAGCACAGACCCTCGAAGATATCTTAAATACAAACATTAAATGTTGGTATTTTTTCAAACCGCGGTTGCGCAAATACCACCCGTTAAACGCGAAAACTAAGTATGCAGATATGGTTGTATACGTCTATATTAACATATTTTAATGCCAATAGGCCTGCATCTTTTAATAAAGTCCATTTTGTTGTCCTGCGGTATTTATTAGGGGAGAGGTCTGTAGGTTGAGACACCTTTTGTTTTTAGTCTCCCATTTGGACATTCGCATTTGAAACTTCACGTGTTAAGTACCGATCGAAAGCTTAGTCTTTTAGCTGTAAAATAAAGCAAAAAAAAATTTTTTTTTCCCTTGGGAAAACTATAAAATA